ACCAGGTGATGGCCCCCGTGTTGTTTTTGCCTTTCGGCTGTAGTAAGTAGTCCTGCTAGGAACTTGCATGCTCCCGTGTTTGTTTGAACACCTGTTCCTAATTCTTGTGGGAAGCCTAGCAGTAGAATTGCTGGAGCATACGGTAACTATGTTTAAATTTTTGAGGCACCGCCAAGCTATTTTCCTCAGCAGCTGCACCATTTTATATTCCCACTAGCAATGTACAAGTGCTTTTCCCTGTACCCTTGCCAACACTATTTCACTCTAAAAACATCTTTTTTTTTTTTGTTTTAGCCATCCCAGTGAGTGCCAGTGATATCTCAGAGGTTCTAATTTGCATTTCCTAATGCCTAATGGCGCTGAGGCTCCTTTCATGTGCTTAGGACTTGATGAGCCGGACCTCCGCGGCTGGGGCTGGCTGTCCGGGAGGCAGGCAGGTGCTGCTGCCCCTGACCGCCTCTGCTCGGCCCTGGCAGGAGCTGGACGCGCTGCAGCAGGTCTGGGAGATCACGCGGGACTGGGAGGAGAGCTGGGGCCAGTGGAAGACGGGCCGCTTCCTGACCCTGCAGACGGAGGCCATGGAGACCACGGCGCACGGGCTGTTCCGGCGCCTCACAAGGCTGGCCAAAGAGTACAAGGTGTGCGGAGACAGACCGCCAGCAGGCGGGACGGCCCTGCGGGAAGGGGGCCCTGGCGGGGCCCTGACGACTCCCACTTCGCTCAGGATCGAAACTGGGAAGTTATCGAAGCCACTCGCTCCAAAATAGAGCAGTTCAAGAGAACCATGCCCCTCATCTCTGACCTGCGGAACCCCGCCCTCAGGGAGAGGTGAGGCTGCTCCTGGTCCCCCGGAGCCCCGGCTCTGTCCCTCCAGTCACCTCGGGTTCTGACCGTTCCCTTTCAAGCATCCACAGCGTTTCCTTTTTCTTTGTTCTCAAATATGCATATTTTTCCCCTTTCAAAAAAGTCACATATATATTTATATTATAGTTATTTATTTCAGAATAGAGGATCCAATCCCGGCCCGGATATGCTAAGCAAGTGCTCTACTGCCGAGCCACACCCCTCTCTGCCACCAGCTCTAAAATTTATTTATTTTTAACATTTTTATTTTATTATTTTAATCGGTATTGGAGATTGAACTCACAACCATGTGCTTGCAAGGCAGGTGCTTATGCTGCTGAGCTAAATCCCCAGCCCCAACATTTTCTATTTTTATTTATTTATTTTTTAATCTCTGGAACAGGAGATTGAGCCCAGAGGCACTCCATCACTGAGCTAGATCACCTGGCCTTTTTATTTATTTTGAGACAAGGTCTTGCTAAATTGGTGAGGCTGGATCCTTCTATTGCAGCCTTCAGTAGCTAGAATTACAGACATACGCCCTGGCTTTTATTTTTTAATTGATATACACGCATATATTTATAATGTATACCATGATGTTTCAAAATACGCAAACATTGTGAAATAGCTCTACTGAACCTATTAACATATGCATTATCACACTTGCTTATCTTTTGTGGTGAGACTATTTAAAATGTATACTTGGCGATTTTCAAGCATGTAACCCAATGTTATAACAACTGTGTTGCACCGCAGATGTCCAAACTTACTCCTCATAGGGAACTGAAATTGTGTACCCCTAGTGCACCATCTCCCAATTCTGCTGCCACCCCCATCCTTGGTAACCACCATTCTCTCAGCTTCTGTGAATTTGACTTTTTAAGATTGTTCACATAGGCCTGGGGATATAGTTCGCAGCACAAGCACCTGTCTGGCAAGAGCAAAGTCCTGAGTTTGATTCCCAGTACCAGGGAAAAAAAGGTTGTTCATGTAAGTAAAGTCATCCAGTAGTTGTCTTCTTGTGTTCTGCGTAACAGAAAGTCCTCAGGGTCATCCCTCTTGTCACAAATGACAGAATTCCTTTCGTTTTAAAGATGAAATGTACTGGTTGTGGTGGCACATGCCTGTCATCTCAGCACTTGGTAGGCTGATGCAGGAGGATCATTGTGAGTCTGAGGTTAGCGTGGGCTGTAAAGTGAGTTCAAGGCCAGCTTAAACTGAATAGTAAAACCCTGTCTCAAAAAAAAAAAGTGAAATAGTATTCTGTTGTGTATAAATATTGCATTTCTTTATCCTTTCATTGCTTGAAGGATACTTATGTTCATTCTGCCCACATCCTGGCCACCAGCTGTGAACGTGGCCGTACAGGTGTTGAGAGCCTGTGCCGCCCCTGCTCCTTGCAATGTCCAGGGTTATCCAGACTGGCTCCTTGCCCTGGGGCTCCCTCCTCCTGTGTCCTCCCACTTTATTTATCTCTCGTGGCTAAGCCTTGTGTCTTTTGTCATACAGAAGGTTGCATTTTGATGCAGCCAAGGTGGTGTTTGCTTCTGTGCCTTGCTTGAAAAGACCTTTCTTATTTCAAAGTTGCAAATACAATGCTTTTGTTTAATACTGTTTTTCAAGTTTAACTCTTCTAGATAGATCTAGACTTTACTGTATGATAGAGGAAGCATTGAGTGATATTTTAATCATTGTCTACCCACTTAGGAGAAAATAATTTTTCTTTCTTTCTTTCTTTTTTTTTTTTGTATTGCCTCCTGTATGTTTTTGCTGCCTTTCCCCTCTTAAGTGGCGGCAATTAAGTGCAGCCTAACCCCTTTGTTTGCTTAAGTTATTTAACTAGTCTAAGCTTTGGTTTCCTCATCTCCAAATGGAATAATCATGCTTCCTAATTTAAATGGGTCATGAGATTTAAATGTGACATTTCATGTAAAGCGTGTGCCCTAGTGCATGATCCATGACAGTTTACTGAGTGTTTCGTTGCATGTCTGCCTCAAGTCTTTCTCCAGGGAATCAGCTCCTAGAGGGTGTCGTGTCAATCTCTGTGTTCCCTGAGGTACCTAAGGCTGCACCATACGGGCTGCTTAGTAAAATCTGTTCATCATGAAGTAATATGTACCCAGAACCATGGTGTTCCAAAGGGAAGAGGCACAGAGAGTGATTTCTCTTTTCTTTTTCCTTTTCTTTTCTTTCAGGGCCTCACATCGGTAAATACTCTGCTGAACAAGGTCCTTGGCCCCAGGGAATGATACTGATGCCTTTTAGTAAGCTCTGGTGTGCAGCCTCCTGATCAGATCTCTCGTTCTTGGTTGTAGGCACTGGGACCAGGTCAGGGATGAAATCCATCGGGTATTTGATCAGGAATCTGAAAGCTTCACCTTGGAGCAGATTGTGGAGCTTGGAATGGATCAGCATGTAGAGAAAATTGGGGAGATCTCTGCCTCGGCAACCAAAGAGCTGGCCATAGAACTGGTAGGACACCAGCCTTGCCCGCCCTCTCCACTCCCAAAGCCTCCTGGAGCACAGGCTCCTGCTGTGCGTTCCCATTGGAATGCATCCATCTGAAGATCCTCCCAGCTCCTCCTCCTCCTCTGGGGCTAGTTACCGGGTGCTGTCTCCCAATTTGTCTTCACAGGCCTTACAAAACATTGCCAAGACTTGGGATGTGACTCAGCTAGACATAGTACCCTACAAAGATAAGGGCCACCACCGGCTGAGGTAGGGACTTGGAGTTCCGGGAGGGGCGAAGCCCACGCCAACAAGGTGGAGAGTGGGGATCAAGGTTCGGCAGATGGCATGGGCTGTTACATTGACCCCCTGTGTTCCAGAGGTACAGAAGAGATATTCCAGGTGCTGGAGGATAACCAGGTAGCCCTATCGACCATGAAGGCGTCGCGCTTTGTCAAGGCCTTCGAGAAGGATGTGGACCACTGGGAACGCTGTCTCTCCCTCATCCTGGAGGTTATTGAGACGGTGCTCACCGTGCAGCGTCAGTGGATGTACCTAGAGGTCAGAACTCGGTGTCCGCACGCCTCCCACTTCCTGCCTTTGCTCGGTGTGAGGCTGGGACCTGCCTGTGTGCCCTCGTAGCCATGGCACTGTCCCAGCTCTGTCTGCGTCCCAGCTGTCTGGCCCTTAGTGCCTTACCTTCCTTTTCTGTTACTTTTGTTCTTTTTATCAGATTCTTATTCTGTTTTTTTCTTGGACCTTGCTATACCTGACTTCCGATTCCCATACAAGCCCTAGACCTTGGATATTTGGACTGTCAGCTTCCAGTGTTCCGTGTCTCCCACTCAGCTGGCATCCCTGGTTTGGGAGCAGGGAGCAGAGTGGGGAGACAGCAGGGGAAGCACCTCTCACCCCAGTCGTTTGCCCTCAGAACATCTTCCTAGGAGAGGACATCCGCAAGCAGCTGCCCAGTGAATCAGCCTTGTTTGACCAGGTCAACAATAACTGGAAATCCATCATGGACCGAATGAGCAAGGACAGCAATGCTCTGCGGAGCACGCATTACCCAGGTGAGCTCTGGCCTTTCGCCTGCCTGGGCTCCTCAGCTGGTTCTACAGGTGTGGGAGGGGACGGCCACATGCCTCGTTTATAAAGACGGACTCTGTAGCCCTCTATCATAGCACTTCCTGTCACCACTGTCTTTTCTAAGCATTAAATAATAGGCTAGTGAATGAAATTCAACCATTATGTGAATAGAATGTAACATAGTGGTTATGGGATATAGAATCAGACCGCCTTGGGTTCAAAACCTGATGTGTTGGGCATGGTGGCCCAAGCCTGTAATTCCAGCCCCCAGGAGGCTGAGGCCAGAGGATTGACCCACGTGTGATGCAGGCAAGGGCTACGTAGCAAGTTCAAGGACAGCCTGAACTATGCAGTGAGACCCTGTTTCGACTCCACCCACAAAGGGAAACAGTTAACAAAGGCACATTTTGCAGCAAATTATAAGCAAAGCCAGTAAAACAGTTCTGTCATTGAAGATACAGAACAAACCCACCGGTCCACGGCTATTGGGTCCTTCTGTGATTTCCACTCGTGGTCACGGGAAGCTATGGTCTGTGTGCATACTGAAGGATGAAGACCACTTTAGGGTTCCCACTCGGGAGCAGCAGACTGCAGGGAGAAAACCAATCAAGACCTAAGACTTCATGGCCCTGATTCAGGCCAGAGGTTTGCAAGAGCTGCTGGTTTCAAACAAGAGCCTGAAGACAAATCTTTCTAGGGTCCGTTGGCCATTTCAGGACTTTGAAAGTGCAATGATCAATGCATTAGGAAGAAACGGCTTAGAGCCCACTGCGGCCCTGAGAAGCCGTGTTCCAAGGCTCCACCCCAGCAGGCCCCAGTGACTTGGTGAGCCCACCGCGGGCCACACCTTGAAGCTCTGCTGCCATGGGGCACATTGGTGAACTCCCTGTGCCTCTCCACCACTCCAGGAACCCAGGATGGTGGGAACCCAGGTGCCTAGACCAGTCCCCCTACCCGAGGGACTGGCGGACAATGGGAGGCAGCAGTGGGCTTATTTGGAGGAACGGAGGACAAGGTCAAGACAGAGGAGCAAAATTCAATCTCAGAGCCGGCATGGTGGCGCACACCTGTAATCCCAGCATTCGGAAGGCTCAGGCAGGAGGATCTTTCCAAGTTTAGGACCAGACTGGGCTACAAAGTGAGTTCAAGTCTGGCCTGAACTACATAGCAAGACGCTGTCTCAAAAAACAAAAACAAACAAGCAAAACCCAATCTCAAACCTCCAACCCACACAGAATGAGTTTCAGGAGACACAGACATAGTAGAAATGAGAAATCACGCACCTGAAGCTTATGAAAAGCTAACAACAGAAGCAGAGAAGCAACGTAGTTCTTGTGTTGTCTGGTTAATTTGGCCTGCCTGTGTCTGATGGTCTGGACAGCGATTTTGAAGATAACAAAAGGCATGGTAGCCATTGTTGATTTTCTATTATCTTATTTTGAAATCCTATATTATTTTAATCATTTTGGTTTATTTGGTTTTACTCTGTTTTGTTTCGTTTGCTTTTATTCTCTTTAAAATTAAAAAAAAAAAAGGGTACTAAAAAAAATTTAGATGACCCAAATTTGGAGATCCAGTCTACAGTTGGGCATCTATGGTGAATATACATGTCTCAGATGAAGTACAAACAGCAAATAAATATATGAGAAAATGTTCATCATCACTGGTCATTCAAGACATGCAAATTAAAAGAATGTTGAGATTCCATATCACCCCAAAAGCAGTGGCTCTTACCAGGAAATCAACCAATAACAAATGCCTGCAGGCGGTGGGTAAAAAGGAGCCCTTCCCCACTGTTGGTGGGAGTGCAGACTGGTGCAACCACTGTGGAGCTTCCTCAAAAATAGGACTAAAGGTCCCATTTGACCCAGCTATTCCTTTTCTGGGAATCTTTCTGAAAGAATTAAAAGTATCTTGCCACAGCAGTATATGTACACCTGTGTTTGTAGCAGCACAATTTGTAACAACCATATTTTGAAAACGACCCAAATGCCCACCAACTGGTGAATGGATTAATGAGACATGGTTTCTTGGGGCGGGGGATTTAGCTCAGTGGCATAAGCGTCTGTCTTGCAAGCAGGCAGTCGTGAGTTCGATCCCTGGTACTGATAAAAACAAAAAAGACCAAAAAAAAAAAGCAAAAAACAAAAAATGAAAGAAACACGGTTTCTTTCTACAATGGAATACTACTGGAGACATTCCTAGGTAAATGGATGCATGTTGGGCCCATATTCATGTAAACATACAAAAGACCTAAGACTTAGAAATGTAGGATGGGAGGAAACTAAGATCACTGGGAATGGATAAGTGTGAATACATTTTGTTCAATATCGTGTGTGTGTGTGGTCCTCCATCGTGAAACTATGTCTCCAACCCTTTGTTCAGTATCTTTTTTTTTTTTGTCTTTTTCATTTTTATCGGTACCAGGGATTGAACTCACGACCGCCTGCTTGCAAGGCAGGCGCTTATGCCGCTGAGCTAAATCCCCAGCCCCCTTTGTTTAATATCTTGATTTCTTTTGGAGACAGCATCTTGCTAGTCCAGGCTGGCCTGGATTCACTGTGTAGCCCAGTCTGACCTTGAGCCTGCAGTGATCCTCCTGCCTCGGCCTCTAAAGCACTGGGGTTACAGGCATGAGCCACCATGCTTGGTTTTTGTTTTTGTTTTTTGGGCTTTTTTATTTGAGATAGATCCTGTGGCCATTTTACTGAAAAAAGAGGTTGAAACTCAGCAAGATTAATTGTGTGCCAGCAAGGTTAAGAACTGCAGTTAGAGTGGAAGAGCCCTGGACCCCAGTCTGGTGCCCTTTCACTGCGTGTGAGGGACACAGGTGACTCCAGGGGATGTAGACTTCTTCCATTGAGTGCGTGTGATGTATACTTAAATCTAATGACTTAACCTGCTAGATTTTGCAAAAACGATCTCCAGTTTTAGAAGCTCTTGGATTCACCGCGTAGTCTCAAGTTTCTGAAAGGAACAGCATTTTTGGGACTGATGGGAATCAAATTAGTAAGGTCATAAGATCCCTAACATAGAAGCTGTAACAGGTATAGTAGCTGTGGGAGTAATTCTTAGTGAATTAACAGTATGGGATAAGCATGATAGAGGAATGGGGATACTCCTCTGCTTCTGAAACCCTAATGCAATCTGAACCCCAACAATCAAGAGCTGGCAAAATAGAGTGAGCAGGGGCTCTGGATCTTCTCAGGGCAGTGGTGAAAGGCCGTCAAACGTCATTCAGTGTTTTTTTTCCTCAGGCCTTTTGGATAATTTGATAGAGATGAACACAATCTTGGAGGATATTCAGAAGTCCCTGGATATGTACTTAGAGACCAAGCGCCATATATTCCCCCGCTTCTACTTCTTGTCCAATGATGACCTGCTGGAGATTCTGGGCCAGTCCCGCAACCCAGAGGCTGTGCAGCCTCACCTCAAAAAGTGCTTTGACAACATCAAATTGCTGAAAATGCAGAAGGCCAGTAGAAGTGGGCATCCTGGGATAGAGGGCAAAGGAGGGGTGGTCCTGTCAGGAAAGTAAATTTCAGCTAGGCACAGTGGCACACACCTGTCATCCCACCGCACTCTGGAAAGCTGAGGCCATAGGCTCACAGGTTGGAGCTCGTCCCAGTACCAAAAAAAAGAGTTTGAGCCTGACCTGGGCAACTTTAATGATTTAGTGAGACCATGTTTCAAAATAAAAAATGCCTGGAGATAGAGCTTAGTGTGAAGTCTTTGGGTCCAATCCCTAGTGCACTACAGTACACACACACACACACACACACACACACACACACACTCCAAGGTTTTGGAAGGGATAGTGCCATCCACCGAAATGATTATTAACGATAATTAACGATTCTAGATTCTCCCAGGCCAGCACTTTTGTAGACTTGGTAATATTGAGAGGGCAGGAAAAGAAATGTCCCTCAGAAGCGGCCCCTGTACTTGCCGGCAGATGCCGAGAGTAGGCAGGCCAGCCCCTGACAGCTGCTTTTTTCTGCAGATGGGGGGAGCCGGCAGCAAGTGGGAAGCTGCGGGAATGTTCTCGGGGGATGGCGAGTACGTGGATTTCCTCCACCCGGTGCTCTTAGAAGGGCCTGTGGAGGTGAGTGGGGGTAAGGGTCTAAGAACCAGGTCAATTCCGCTTCCTTCCAGAAAGTTTGCCTGGTTCTGTGAGAGCAGAAGATCTCTGCAGGGATGCTAGTTGCTCCCGGGCCACCTGTGCCCACCTGCCATTCCCGGCAGCTGTAGCCTCTGCCTGGACTCTGAGTGTCTCTCTAGAAGTCAGATACCCTGGCTCCCAGCTTCTGTTTCCACTGGGGACCCAAACCTGCCGTTGCATAGTTCGTGCTGTTTCTCAAGCACCTTTCCTTTAGGGAACTTCGAGCCTGAAGGTGAGCCTTTCTGATCTCTCCCCAAGGTCTGGCTTGGGGATGTGGAACGGGCCATGAAGTTAACCCTGCGGGACCTTCTCCGGAACTGCCGCCTGGCCCTCAAGAAGTTCCTTAACAAGAGGGACAAGTGGGTGAAGGAGTGGGCTGGCCAGGTGAGCTGAGGCCACCACAAATGGGAACCACGAAAGGTGACACAGAAGGAACACTCTAGAGTCTCGCAAGATGGAGGCTCTTTTCTGTCTCTTTGGGCTGTGGTACCCTGTGCACTTGGCCTGTAGTTGCTGACCTGAGGCACGTGTCCCACCCTCCAGGGCAGATCAGCATCCTGAGCTCGTAGTTCTGGAGGGGCCCTAGCTTGGGTGTTGGGCTGCATGGTGGCCAAGGACAGGGCCTTGTACTCAGTTTCTGCATTTGCCCAGATGGTGATCACAACCAGTCAGATCCAGTGGACAGCTGATGTAACCAAGTGCCTGCTGACAGCCAAAGAGCGGGCTGACAAGAAAATCCTCAAGGTCATGAAGAAGAAGCAGGTGGGAGCTCCTTAGGTGTGGGTTAGGCCCGGAGCTGGAATGGGCGGGAGGGCAGCGACTGGAATAGGAGTTCAGGAGAAGCCTGTTGTTGTGAAGAGGCAGACAGGGTGGCTTGCGACAGAAACCCACTAAGCGGAATTTGACGTGGAGCAGCGTTAGGCTGTCTCCTGCCTGCTGAGACTGGGTGCAGCGGTTTCAGTGGGTGGGGTCAGCTTTGGGCTGCAGGTTGGTTAGGCCGAGGAGAGGGGTGATCCAGCTTCGCTCCCCCAACCCCACAGGTGTCAATACTGAACAAGTATTCAGAAGCCATCAGGGGAAATTTGACCAAGATCATGCGGCTTAAAATTGTGGCTCTGGTGACAATAGAAATTCATGCTAGGGATGTGCTGGAGAAGCTTTACAAGAGCAGCCTCATGGATGTCAACTCCTTCGACTGGCTCAGCCAGCTGCGCTTCTACTGGGAGAAGGTGCCAGAAGGGACCGCTGCTCCCTAATCTTCTGCCCTCAAACCGATCCTAAGGCTTTAGCTAAATTCATGAAGTCTCTATGTAACAGTACCCTAACTCAGCCCACCACAGTGCCCTAACCTCATTCTCTGCTGCTTGACCTCCCAGTGCAGAGGGGGCTGTAACGGTTGCAGGCTGTGCTCACATCACGTAACCTCACCTCAGACTGCAGGCAGCTGCTGCCCTGGATCAAAGCTGATGTGCAACATTAAACCCTCTTTCCATTCTGGCCATAAATTCTCCTCCTGCCAACCTGGCACAGAAGTTCCAGTCTCCCTGCAGCCCCTTCCCTTCTCGGGGTGCGGCTCCCACAGCTCCGCACTTCTTCC